GAGAGAGAGAGAGAGAGGGAGCAAGAAAGAGAGAATGAGAGAGAAAGCAAAAGTGGGAAAGAGTGAGACAGAGAGAGAGAGAGGGAGAGTCGAGAGAGAAAAAGAGATACAAAAAGTATTATTCTCTGTGGACTCTCCAAAAAAGGTAATTTCAAACCTTTGTAAAGCTGCTATTAAAATATGTGCAACGCAGAGGTATAATTTCTTTCACTGGACAACAACACGCTGGCCGATTTTTGTCGGCTGAAAAGTGAACGAGAGATTGATTGCTGATAACACTCTTTCTTAAGTTTCAAGTCAACCCAGATATATAATTTATTCAACGTTCAACAATCACTTTGCCACTTCTCGAGGGTGCTCGAAAAAACTATAAGCGTTCACTGTTGTGTCATCGCAGTAAAGCGACTCATCGTTCCTTCATCTTTGTTTATCACGCCGGCTCGTAACGTTTATGTAGATCGCCACCTGTCACGATGTAACTTATCTACACGAGTCCTTACCGAACAGCGCCCGCTCAGGAGTAACGTCAGCCTCCCTGGCCAATTCAGCTTTTGCCCACAGAGCGCAAAGAGGGCTTCTAATTGCGACCAAACATTTTTCGAAGGTTGTCGACGAACGCTTGGTAGCGCCAAGCATAATATTGGCAAGGGTCCACGGACTGCTTTTCGTCCGCATAACAGTACTGGTACTCCGACCATTTATTCATCCACGTCTACATCAGTAGGTCTTAGTGAGTCTCCAATGAATCCACTCAACACTATCAGCCCTGACTAGACACCACGCAGGGGCCAGTGGCAGCCGGTGACGTCACAATGGGTCAGAGCTCAGCAATAAATCGTCGCCCACCTCGACAAGGAAGGACCCTACCTGCTTTGACCTTGTCTACTAGGGCCTACCAGGGCTTACCCGGGCTGAGTACGGCATGTTGTTCCAGAAGACAGATGAAAACACTTCACTAGTCAGGCTCATTAGGATGCAGTAGCTCGAAGCACAAAGCAGACACACTCGACACAGTACCCTTTCC